CGCTGGTGTGATCACAGGGCTTTTGTTCGTTTGTTCATTTTGAATTGTTTGTTTGTTTTCTTTTCCTTTTCTTGAGTTGGGAGCCCTTTCTGGCCAGGCGGAGCTGCGTGGCAAGGAACTCCCCTTCAGCTTCCACAGATGTGCAGAGGGATACCTGAGGACATTTCTTTCTTTGCTGGGTTTTTTTTTTCTTCTTCTTCTTCTTTTTGGGGGGGGCTTTCTTGTTCTTTTCTTTTTTTTAATTTCTTTTGTTTTCTTTTCCCTCTTTTTCCCTTTTTGTCTTTTTTCATTGCTCAGTTTCTCATCTCTCTATATCTTCCTTCTCTTTCTGATCCCTGAATACCAGGTGTTGTATACCTCTACGCCTTCTACCCAGGCTGTATTACGACACCTGAGAGCGACTTTCCCAGACCTCATAGCTGCATCGGTGGGATCCCTGGGAACTTTGTGGTTCTTTAACCTTTCTGATTTTTATTTATTCATTCTTTTCTTTTCTTCTTCTTCCCCTTTCTGTTTTTCTCCATTTCATAGTCTCTCATCTCTCCATTCCAACGGCAAGCTCCCCTAGCATTCTTTTTTGTTGGTTTGTATGTTTTTTGGCTCCTGTTCCTCTCTCCTCTCTCCAACGTCCATCTTAGCTCCACACATAACAATCTCCCGGCTGCATCCTGCCTACCTGCACTGTGCGCTTGACATCACACCACCAAGCAGCACAGGCACGGCCTACTGGAATCTGCCCAGCGCTGATTACCGACCAGCCCTGCTGGCTGTAGTAAGTGCCACAAACAACCCGTCCCAATAACTCCTCTTCAGCTAGACCTGCCCAGCTGTACCATATCTGAGTGACTGAACCTACCAGTTGGAGAAGGAGGTGAAAAGTATTGAGCACACAGACAAGCAAACAACAAAGAACACACAGTCCGCCTGCTCAGGCATAGCCAAATTTTTTTTTTTAAAAAAGGGATGAAACAAACAAATCTACAATCAATAAACAAGAAAAATAACTACTGAAAGCCCCGAAAACAGCAGACAATATCAAAACATTTACAAAAACAGGAAAGAATGGTTCCAG